GGGGTGGGGGGAATGGAGGTGTTGGGGTGGAGGTGATGGAGGTGTTGGGGTGGAGGGGATGGAGGTGTTGGGGTGGAGGTCACCATGGAGGTTTGGAAGTAGAACCTACGATATGAATAGTAGTGTAGAAAGTAGTGGTGAGCGTTGGCAGGGATGATGATCAGTGCTCATGGTCGCTATGATGAGGAAGAGGAGAAAGAGAAGGGCAGGAGAGGGTAGACTGCCTGTGTGGCTGGAACCCTCAGGAAGCAAGAGGGGAGGGAGGCTCCGCTTACCCCAACCCACTGCACACAGCTTGAGCATATATTGACGGATGTAGATGTTGTAGACGCGCACCAGGAGGAGGTAGAGGTTGAAGCCTTCGATGGCCATCCAGGTGAGGCAGCTGAGCAGCGCAAAGTGCAGGATGGCCGCCAGTGCTGTGCATGCTGCCCCGGCCCTGGCCAGCACAGGACTCAGGAGGAAGGCGACGTTCAGGAGCAGCACAGACGCATGCAGGTTCATGTGGATGTGTGTTGTGGAGTCACCCTGCTTCCTGCGGGTGGGAGCATGCCCTTCGGTGGCCTGGGGACGTCACCTAGGCAGTGCCACCCCCTGGGCTCACGGACACACAATGATGGGAACACTGAGGTTGAGAGGTCGCGGGGATCCAACAGCAGCCACACAGCAAGGCTGGTCTCCTGCTCCCATCCCCTGGAGAAGTCCACCCCACTCTGGGGGATCAATTGGATAAGGAGGGGTGCTGAGCAGCAGCGGGTGGGCGGTCCTGGCACGGGGGCAGGGGAATACCTGGCTTGGAAGTGCAGCAGGATAGTGAGAAGCGAGGCCACGACGGAGATGCTGCAGCCCACCAGGGAGATGTACGTAAGAGGCGCCAGCAGCTCTGCGGGGATCGGGGCCGGGGAGAGTTGCTGCAAGAAGGAAGGGGGGATGGAGGACAGAATGCCCTCCCGGCACTCACAGGGACCTGCTAAGATCTCAGCTCCAAGCTCCCCTACCCCACCACAAAGCCTACCATGGTCCTGACTTGAAAGAAAAAGCTCTGGCAGATACGGTGGTTTTTGCCCCCCTCAACTCCCATCTCCCCTCTCTCTATGAGAACCTCCCCTGCCTTGCTGTCTATGCACATAGACATATATGGACACTGTGCGTGGACAGTGCACCAGGCCTGACTTATCAGAGCCTTCCCTCCTCCTGCCCAGAGTGATTGATTGAGGGATGGGAATGTGACACACTCCAGGCCAGTGGGACTCAATCCCCAAACTAGCTGGCAGAATTGGGAAAGAGCCAGTTAGAGCCTACTGGCCTAAAAGCTAGTAGGACACGAGCCAGGATCTGCTAGCAGCCGTATAATTATCCTGAAGGGAAATTCCGTCTGAAGCCCAGGCCAGTGCAAAGCAAACACAGGTGAGAGATAGAGAGCCTTGTCTTGGTGATCTTGAACATCTTGATCAAGCCATGTCTGAAGCCCAACATAGCCTCTTCAGCCACAGGAGTTCATATGTTTCTCTTTTTTTCTCCTTAAGCCCATTTGAGTTGGATTGTCTGCCACTTGCACCTGCCTATGCCCTGCTCCTCTTGCCTAGACATGGGGTCCTTTACAGCTTTGACTCCCATCACCCAGACTGGATGCACACATACCATGAGAACAGCAAAGTAGCTGAGGTGGTTGCAGCGGCAGAGCACCTGGGAAGGTGACGGCTGCTCTGTGCGACAGCCCTCGGGGCTCCAGACCCCCCAGTGATCCTTGCTGGCTCCTTCCTTCCAAAAGACACAGGTCGCTGTGTAGCCTTCCTAAGGGGAGATGGTGGAGTTGGGTATGGAGGAGGTACGGGGTAAGGGGTATGGGGGAGGGCCGTGGATCAGAGTCTGGAAATTGTGGGGGCCAAAGCTGATTCAACTGCACCCTTGTCAACTTCTTACAAGGCACTGGCTGGGCTTTGGCCAGACGGACCCAGATTCCAGACTCACCTCCACTATGGACTCTCAGAGTAACCTGGGCAAGTTGCCAAGCTTCTCTGCCTCAGTTTACTCATCTGTAAAATGGGATCCTCTATACACAATTTCTCAAAGAGGGTATTAAATTACGGGCAATGAGGAATCTTGAGTGACCAGCTCTGGCTGGACAGTAGGTGCTCTACAATCAACTGTGCCCTTTCCCCTCCTCCTCATGGGGAACAACGATACTGCAGGTGCACTGCCCAGGGCGGGAAAGAGACTCATCCACAGACAACCCTGATGCTGAGCCATGGGGGTGGTGGGGTGGGAGGAACGACACAGAAAGTGCCATGGAAAACCACTGAACAAGGGGTAGGGGAGTCCCAAGGAGGGAAGGGACGATTGGGGCACTGAGGTCTTTGAGGACACATCAGATCTCAGCAGAAGTGGAACGAGGGCAATCCAGATAAAGGGAACTGTGGGAGCAAAGGTTCAGAGGAAAGTAAGGGAAGGATGATGGAAAAAATGAGAGTGCAGAGCAGTCTCATGAAGCTGATGAAAAGTCAGGGCAGAATGTAGAGTCTCTGGGCTTCTCCGGAATGCCAGGGCCAGGAGAACAGAGACACCAGGGCTTGTGCTCACCCAGCAGCCCTTCTCCCTCACTCCAGGACCAGCTTCTGAGCTTCCCTTGAAGACCCATACCTGCCCCATGGCAGATCAGATGAATCCAGCCCAGTCCCCAAGCCGTGTGACCCAGGCCTGGCCAATCCACACGTTCCATCCACCTGTGTGCAGTGATGGTGCAGGGATGGACACATGACCCAGCTGGACCCTAAGGACTCCATTTTGGAACCCTCGTTTGCACCGATGAGGAAGAGCCTCCTGGGAAGAGGGGATGGAGGTCCAACACTTTTGCTGCCATCTTACCAGAGTAGAGATCCAAGATAGGAAACCATTGCTGAGAGATGGAAAGAGGCTGAGCCAGAATGGCTTTGCATCAGCCCCTGGATCCAGCCAGGCCTGAAGCTGGCCAGCCCTGGACATTTCATCTGCATGAGCCCATCCTTTCTGTGTTTAAGCTGGCTTGACTTGGCTTTGCATCACTTGCAACTCAAAGAATCCTGCCTAATGTGGTAAGTAAAAAAAAATTAAGCAAAACTTCTCTCTCTGATTCCTTTGACAGGAATTTTCAAACTGTGATCGATTTGAAACGGTTTGTTTTCAAACTGCTTCCACGGGTGTGGGTTTAGTTGAGCCAGAGTTCAACAGGAGCCACAAGGGGCAGGGGCGAGGTGGAAATGGGGGCACCCCCAACAGTACCAGGCTTCGGTTGTGCCAGAAGCTGATGTTGATCGGCTCACTGAGGTTGTTCACGTGTCCGTGACTCAGCTGGGCTCCCAGGACATAGTTATTGAGCAAAGATGAGTTGATACTCTGCAAGGACAGCAGGAGGGCTGACTGGAGAGGATGGATGCATGGAGACCCCGGCTGAGGTCCGAGAGCCCCCTTCACCAGCCCCTTCCCCCGGGTGAGAACAGCAGTGTGCCTTCACATGTGGGCCAGCCTCCTAGCCTTTGTGTATGCTGTCCCCTCCACCTGGAAAGCTGTCCCTTCAGCACTCACCCCCCACCTCTCCGCCATGGATTCAGTGCATTCCAGCCTCCATCTGTCCTCGCTCACTTTCAAAGCCAAAGTTAAAAACACCTTTGTCTGTCTCCCATCTAGGGACAGACACATCCATGGTAGATTTCTTGTAATTGCACCCCCAACACCATTCTCCTAAAACCAAGGCCCAGAAAGGACAGCGGCTGGCTCAGGTTGCACAATGGGCTGGTCCCACCTGGTGCTGGTCCCTGTGCAGAGGCCAGGCAATGGTACGGATGCCCGCAGTGCCTGCAGGAAGGGGCCGGCACCTACCCTGCTTGGCCCCCGTGTGGCACTGACCTGGAAAAAGTAGTCAGTGAAGAAGTAAATGCAGATGAGGCGCAGCTCCCTGGGGCGGGTCCTGCAGGCATTCTGGGTCAGCTCTGCCGGGAACTGCATGGCGTGCGGCACCGAGGCCTACGGGCAGCCATGGATGGGCTAAGCCACACCCGGCCCCAACACTTCCACTGCCCCCCACTCCTTGTGAAGCCTTCCCATCCTGTTCTTTCCCTGGGGCATTTCATCCCTAGGAGCCTCCACCTGCAGAGCCCTCTCCTCCCAGGCTGTACTTCCTCCCCAACTTCCTGAGATCCCAGGCCTTTCCTCCAGGCTGCCCCTGCCTCGATTTACCCCACCCAGCTGGGGCCCCTGGGGATGGAGCTCGTCAGCCCTCAGCGCCCAGACGGTCAGCAGGAATCACACCAGAGTCTTCCAGGGACCCTGGCTTCCCTGGCCTCTCCCACTGCCGCCTCCCCTCGGGGACCTGCAGAAGCAGGAAGAGGACATTGCCCTTGAGGGGCCACAGAGCACCCTCTCTTTCCACCATTCACGTGAGGAATGTCAGCCCCATTTTACAGAAGAGGCAACTCACAGCTATTAGGGCAGACCAGATTAGTTGGGGGAAAGTCCAGACCTGAAGCCCCTGGAGGATTTCTAGGGTCGAGACCCTGGCTGCCCTCCATCTCCTGGCCCCCTCTGACCTGGGGGACCCGCTCCAGAGTCGCACTGCTCAGTGCGAGGCCAGTGAAGTCACAGCCCAGCTTGAAGGCCAGTGTCTGGATGCTGTGCGTCTGCAAGGTAAGGTTCTTGCCCTCGAAGCTGGTGTTCAACAGGCTGCACTCCAGGCCCCGGATAAGCCTGAGGGTGAGAGAGCTGACCAGGGTCTGGAGTGGGCGTGGGGGCAAGAGGGGCCCGAGACAGCCAATAAGGGCAGGGCCTCCCCCAGCCCACATCTGCTACCCCTACCTCCGGACCTTTGCACACACAGTGTCCCTGGCACACTCTTACCTCTCCATCCCACTCATCCACATCTCCTGATTACCTCTTGTTCAGGTCCAGGTCTTTGGACACCTCCTTCAGGAAGATTTTTCTGGATTTTTTCTGCTGACTGAGTGAAATGCCACATAGTCCCTGTGCTCCCCCTGGCCAGTCATCAGCACCATCCCCTCGCCCAGAGCTGCGAGACCATTCGAGAGCTCGCAACTCCTTCCCAGGAAAATGCAGAGACCCACGATTCTGCACCTGATTTCATGGCATCCATAGTTAAAGGCCCTAAACCAGACAGCAAACTTGATAAGGGCAGGGACATGGTTAACCTGCATCTTCCAAGCCTCGTGCTGGGCACACAGTAGGTACTCAATAACTGAATGTTGAATAAATGGATTAATGGTCTACACTGGACAACCCTGGACCACTGACTCAAGGCGCAAGCTGGGGGTGGGAGGCACAGCTGACTCAAGGGGGGCGGGGAGGGCCGCCCAACTCACCCACGAAGCGAAGTCACATTGCGGCTCCTGGACATCGTCTCCAGGTTCTCCATCCAGCTCAGGGGTTCTTGGGACTCCTCTGCGGGGCAGGTCACGCCTCCACATCAGCCTCTGTCCCCACAGCCTCTGGGCCCTTCTACCACAGCCTCAGCCTTGCTGCTGCCCCGGGAGACCTCAGTGCCCTCTTTCAAGCTCCCTTGGTTTGGGTCGTCCCCCTTTCACATCACAGCCACGGACCCGGGCTCAGATTGCCCCCCAGTTCAGCAGCACCCCCTTACCCACTGTATCACTGTGAGCAATCATGAGGCACAGGCAGAGGAAAAAGACCCTATGGTCATCCATGTCCTGTTCCCAGTCTCTTCCAAAAACTAGTTTCCAACCTGGAAAAGATGCATGCCATTGTCACCATGGTAAAAGAGTGAGCTCTAACTTCTAGGTGTCCGGCATGTCCCAAAGGTAGGACATCTAGCATTTTATATATGTTTTTTAAATGTTTATGTATTTTTGAGAGAGAGTGAAAGAGCACAAGCAAGGGAGGGGCAGAGAGAGAGGGGAACAGAGGGTCCAAAGCGGGCTCAATGCTAACAGCAGAGAGCCTGATGTGGGGCTTGAACTTGAGAACCATGAGATTACAACCTAAGCCGAAGGCCGATGCTTAATCGGCTAGCCACCCAGGCACCCCAGGACATGTAGCATTTTAATTAATCCTCGTTACTCCTGCATTTCACAAATGAGGAAACTGAGGCTCAGAGAGCAAGTGGGCTTGCTCTGCTTTAGGCTCCCTGAGCCTGGTCTCTGCGACTCCAAGAATCCCAGATTGTTTGTTCAGAAATGCCCACCATTACCAGCTTTGCCTGAGTCACTCTCCCTCCCAAAACAATGGTCTGTCTGGGGGCTTCTCCAGGGCGCTGACTTCACCCAGGGGGAAGTTGCTTGGGAGCAAGCAACAGGTAACCCTGTTGAGGTGTGTCATTAATTCACTGTGTGACTTTGGGCAGGGGTCTGTCCCTCTCAGCCTTCATTTTCTGTGGTTTTAAAATAAACCAATAAACGTCTGCTTAACTATAGCAAATCTATGTCAACCCCCCGAAACTCCACTAAAATGAGAGTGAGTGGATAAACGGGCGCAAAGCCACAAAGAAGAGGAAAGAAGTCAACAGCAGGTGAGAAATGTTAGCAAAACTTTGGAGGTTCCAAGCAGGTGACCACCTGGTAATCAGTTTAGCCAACCGTAAAGAGTTGAGCCCCAGTGTCTGCAGGAGGGTGAGGTGTGGAGTGAGGGAGGGGAGAAGGGGAGGGGACAGGGAGAAGGTTTAGAGCCCTGGGAGCACTTGAGAACCAGAGGCATCGAGAACCTCTAAAAGAAGGGTGAAGGCAAAAAAATGGGGGATTGATGTTGGTGAGTCTTTTAAATGACCAGCTGGGGCCCCAGATCTCCTCTGTCACCCGGGGTGCCCAGGACTGTTGTCACCACCCTACCACCCTCAACCGCATTCCAACATAAAGTTCATTCCCGGGAAACAGTGCATGCCAGAGGACCTGAGGGCAAGGATGGGATGCCATTCAGGTATAGAAAAATTAAGCCGTATCCCTTCCTCACCACTTCCTCCACTCAGCTTCCAGAAGCCTGCAGCAGCCAGGTGACGATGCTCTAAGCCAGGAGAAAACTCTTTGCAGAAGAACTGGCTATTCCAAGAAAAGTATCCTATAGCTACTGAGGTTTTGATGTTCCTCAGTGATATGGCCAGGACCGAACTCAGGTTGGAGCTTTCCCAGTTATCAGCCCTGACAAGCAATAAGGCTTTAGTGCTGCACTCTTAAAGGTGAGCGGTCAACCGAGGATCACTAGGTATTTTAAAACATACACCCTCTTTCAGAAAGCTGCTGGAGGACGCGCTCCAACAGAATGAGGGAGTAACTTGTGAAAGACAACACAGGACACAGGAAACCCTAGCGGAGAAGAGACAAAGCTATTCCCCCGGTTGTAGGTTGGACAGCAGGACCGGGTATATCCTGTCCAGAAGGGAGCAGGAGAAAAGAAGTTTCCAGGAGGAAGGCTTCAACAAATAAAAGGAGGAGAAGGAGGAGATTATACAGATTAATTGGGTGAAGCATACACAAAATCTTTCTGTACTATTTTTTTGCAGCCTCCTATGAATTTGTCATTTTTTCAAAAGTAGAAGTTCAAAAATACAGTACACGGATTGCCACGTCACTATCGAAAGTTATGATGTCAATAGTAACATAAAAGAGGAACACAGTATATTATTACGCATTGAAAAGAGCAAGTTGAACATAACACTCACAATATCACATGTATGGAAATGTGTGCAAATATACATGCTTAAGCCTAGGAGGGTATCTAGAAGAATGGTCACCAAAATGCTAATAATGTTATGGGAAGGAGGATTACTCTCTTTTTTATGTTTTCTGTATAGTTCACATTTTCTGCAACGAACATGTGTTATCTTCAAAACAGAAAAGCAAGTTTTTAATGCTTAGAGTTTTTTTATTTTTTACTTATTTTTTAATTTTTTTAACGTTTATTCATTCTTGAGAGACAGAGAGACAGAGCATGAGTGGGGAAGGGGCAGACAGCGAGAGGGAGACAGAATCTGAAGCAGGCTCCAGGCTCGGAGCTGTCAGCACAGAGCCCGACGCGGGGCTCAAACTCACAGACCGTGAGATCATGACCTGAGCTGAAGTCGGACGCCCAACCGACTGAGCCACCCAGGTGCCCCAACTTAGAGTTTTTTTTAATGCTCCAAATGACTAGCATTATGGAAAAAATAATGGTGACATATTGCTTATGTAAAACAAAAACCATGTTGCAAAGCAGTGTAATCCAATCCTTGTAAAAGTCATATTTTTTCATATATGCAAAATGTGGAAGATGCAGGGGTCACTTCTGGGTACTAGTTTTGACTGCCCATATTTTCTGAAGTTACCCTGCGTTATAGTTATATATTTCTCGATCTTTATTTGCTCTTTGCTTTTGGAATTTACATCTTTCAAATATAAACAATAAACAAGCACACAAGCACATAAAATCAAAGTATCCCTGCTGCCCATGTCACCCAACCACTCGGTTCCTCGTTCGTCACCCCCAGGTAACTACTATCATTAGTGTTTTGTGGACTTTCCCAAGTTTCATATATAGATAAGCACACATGGGGCACTTGGGTGGCTCAGTCAGTTAAGTGTCCAACTCCTGTTTTTGGCTCAGGTCATGATCTCACAGATCAAGTCCCGTGTCGGGCTCTGTGCTGACGACGTGGGGCCCACTTGGGATTCCCTCTCTCTCTCTCTCTCTCTCTCTCTCTCCCTCCCTCCCTCCCTCCCTCCCTCTCTGCTGCTCCCCTGCTCTCTCTCAAAAGAAGTAAATAAACTTAAAAAAATATATATAAGCACATATATATGATTCTCCTCATTTTATTTAAAAAAAAGCACACTTTTTCCTGTTCTGCACTCTGCATTTTTCTCTTGAAAATATATCTTGGAGAGCTTTCTGTAACAGTTCCTAGAGCTTCCATTTTTTATTATTACAACCTCATAGTCTAACGTTGGAGGGATAAACCCTAACTTCTTCAGTGGGTGCCCTGTGAACAGCTAGTTGTGTTGATTCCAGTCTTTGGTTCTTTCCAAAGTGCAGCTGTTCTGATGTCATTTCCCACGTGTGCAAGTTCACCATCTGCCCTTTTTAAAAAAAAAAAAAAAAAAATGTTTCTTTCTGTTTGAGAGACAGAGACAAAGAGAGACAGAGTGTGAGTGGGGGAGGGGCAGAGAGCGAGGGAGACACAGATTCCAAAGCAGGCTCCAAGCTCCCAGCTGTCAGCACAGGGTCCAAAGCGGGGCTCGAACTCACAGACCGCAAGATCATGACCTGAGCCAGGGTCGGACGCCCAACCAGCTGAGCCACCCGGGAGCCCCACATCTGCCCATTTTTACATCAGGTTCGACTCTTCCTTATCTTCTCAAAACTCTTCACATAATAGGAAAATTAGCTCGTTGTCTACTGTGTGAGTTACAAATATATTTCCTAGTTTGTCATTTGCCTTTTAACATTACACATGGTCCTTCTGCCGGTAGGAGTCTTTTTTTGTATGTATAATTTTTATGTAATCAGAATTAGCAGCATGTTCTCTTAGGTCTTCTGGATTTTGAGTTGTAGCTAGAAAGGCCTTCCCTGCTCCAACATTACAAAGGAATTCTCTTAAGTTTCTCCTTGTCCTTTTAAGTTTTCATTTTTCACATTGGAACCTCCAGTCCATTTGCATCGATCCCGGAGTACAGTATGAGATGGGGATGTGATGGTTTTTGCCGGGTAGTCGTACATGTGTCTTAACACTATTAATATATGTGTTGATTTTGAAAAGGGAATAGAGACTTTGGAGTCACAGAGTGCTGGGTTCTTATTCATTTGGCCACTTGGTTATTTATTAGGCTGTGTTACCTCAGGCAATTGACTTGCCCTCTCTGAACCTCAGAGAAGACAGGAGGGAAAACATTTGAGGGGACAAAGGAAGCTGCTGAATGAAACAATTTAAAACTTTTCAGATAAGAAGTCTGAGGACCCAACAGCGCAGACAGATCTCGGGTCATCTTGTCTACCCCCTCACTGTGTGAATGGAGGCCCAGACAATGGTGCAGATTTGACCTCTAGGGTCTGGACCGTAAAGCCAGCTCCCCAGGCCCTTGGCCACCCTGCTCTGTGTCTACAGAGGGAAGAGGGGCCTAGCCCCACCACCATCTGGAGAAATCAGGGTCAAAGCAGAAGTGACACCTCTCCCAGACCCCTCAAATAGCTGTGGTTACCACTCCCTTTCCCAGGGGGCAAATCACAATCCTCACCTCTGCTTAACACACCCCTCTCCCCTGCCCTTCAGAGAAGCCACCGTGCAGCATTGCCCCACACCCTCACCCGTCTCACCGTGGCCCACAATTCATTATCTGAAGCTCCGTGGGAAACAGAAACCCCCTACCTGATGCCCAAGACGGTTCCAGTTGACTGTGGGGAAACTGGAAACCACACAGGAGTTTGCCTGGGAGGTGACGGCAGTCCCGTGGTCAAGCCAGGACTCAAACCCAGGGCCCCAGGCTCCAAGTCCAGTGCTGTGTGCCACAGGCTCCCAAAGATGGTTGGGTTGCTCTACGGAAGAGTAAGCCTCTATCTAGGTCAACAGAGAGATAAGGAAACAACAGGGTGCAGACTAGAGCCTCTAGAAGATGCAAATTTGATAGCCACTTCCAGTATTCAGTGCCTGGGCTGGGACGTGGGGCAATAACT